TTACGTAGATCCTGACTCAAATCAACTCGATGGGGCAGAGCAAAGCTCCCTGGGGTTTCCAAGGCGGTAGACCTTTTTAGGAGCGGACAGCCTTATCTTTCTCCTGAAAAGCGGCTGGTGGTTTTGAACTGCTGACCTTGCGGTTAGCAGCCCAACACATAACCCACTATGCCATCATGGCTTCGTCCCTGGAACTTTAGAATCCTCAAAATGTGACGAAAAGAATGGGTAGTCCGCAAGTCATTCCTAGTATTTTGCGCCATCTGAAAGAAATTGCACATTGACTCGTGAAAACCGTATAGAGGCCAGCATGCCCAGTGTCTGCTTTAGGGGTGATTATGTAAACTCAGTGGGGCTGAGAGCCCTTTTTAGCAGTCATCCATTGCATACTATCCCGGGAGAACAAGACCGTGGTTATGGTGTGGTCCTCATTGAGTTGTGTGGGCGCGTATAGGCAGGCTCCACATTAAGATCAGGAGTGACTGGAGGGCTGGCCAGGAGACACTCTACTTAGAAAGAACTATCCAAACCGAGCAATGACAGACAGACAGAAGTTGTTTCCTCCAGCCCCAGCCAGGGAATCTTGGACCCACTGTTTAATCCCCCCTTCCTTCCATTTTTCTGTAGTAAGCTGGTTATAATAAAATCTAAAGTGTAGATTCATTAGGAGTAGAAGGTATATGATAGTGTACCCTAATGTCTCTCATCTTTAGGCCTTCGTTATTGATAGTAGGAGCATGACCATTATTCATGTAAATCACGGACAGGACTAGAAGGGCTGCTTTGAATTTGCTTGTGGTTAGCTGCCACAAAGCCAACCCCCAACAAAGTAAGGAAATATGGAATGCCCATCTCTGCTATCCGTTGCAGAGTATACCAGGAGCTGATTTGCAGAAGTAGATCACCAGGCCTTTCTTCCTAGTCTTCTCTGTCTTAGTCTGGAAGCTCCACTGAAACTTGGTCAACATCATAGCTATTCCCAAGCCTTCACTGAAAGAGGGGTGGGGGCTGTGCATATGATGTTGGTTGCAGTCAAACTTGGATCTTCCACGTGGGTGGCAATAGTTCTCCCACTGCTTCATTGGAACTTGCAGTTTGTCTGTTTTGCACCAGTGACTTGGTCCCAACTCACGAGTGACCTTCTAGAACTGTGGTTCTCAACCTTCCTCATGCCGCGACCCTTTAATACAGTTCCTCATGTTGTGGTGACCCTCCCAGCCATAAAATTATTTTCATTGCTACTCCAACACTGTGATTTTTCTACTGTTATGAATCGGGTGACCCCTGTGAAAGGGTTGTTCGACCCCCAAAGGGGTCTTGACCCACAGGTTGAGAACCACTGGGCTAGAATAAAGTAGAACTGCCCAGTCGAGCAGATGACCAGGTCTCTGTTTCCATGGAGTGGCTGCTGGGTTTGAACCACTGGCGATGGGTTAACAGCCAAGAGCTTACCCACCAGAGCCTCTCTCTCCCTAGTGCTGCAAGTCTAAAGGAAGGAAAGACCTTTTGGCCCTGGGCAGTTTGACCTGGGAGACACTGTAAGACTCTGCTGGGAACAGGGCCTCACAGTGTCAACAGAGGCCTGGTCATAGAGCCACGTTCCTCTTTGTTACAGAGTCGTCTGCTCTTCCTCCTCCTCCTCCTCCTCCTAAGTGCTACTTATTCTCTTTGCCGGGGAATCATTAGTCTGGTGCATGCTCTGACTCAAAGGTTTGCTATGAGGATAAAATATGATCTTAATGTGAAAATGCTTTGTAAACCCCAGAGCACAAACTATCCAGATTTCTCCTGGTCTGAGCATAATGACATTCTCTAGCTAGCTTGTGTTTCTTCTCTCTTTCTCTCTCAATCACACACACACACACACACACACACACACACACACGCATGCACGCACACACAGCTTAGCAGAAACACGAGGCGTATTGCAGATGAGAGGCTGGCGCTGGAGCCATTATGGAGGAGGGATCCGTTCCCTCTGAGTAATTGACGCATGGGAGCGGCACATACTGGCGGAGGCAAGTGGATGAACAACACACTTCAGCTCCTGGCCCCATAGCTTCCCTTAATAGGAAGAAACATTTAGATGTAATAACAGTAATACAGGAGCGAGGGGCCCGGTGCTCGGAGGAGAGAGTTTCTGTAGTTCTTCCAGGAGGGCACAAATCATACTGAGAGGTTTCAGGCTTTGGAGGGTAGAAGGGCCAGGGGCGTCCTGGCATCAGGCTGCCTGGGATAGAACTCCTTGATGGGAGCCCCTTGAGTCCTCTGGGGGGCTCACCAGGGCTTGTCCCTGCATGCAGTCAGCTGTCTCCTGCCCGAGTGGGGTGCTTGTGAGGTACGCATCGTGAACACACAGGGTCTGGCTTCTCGCCGCTCTCCTCTCTCCCTGGAGGCACATAGGAGAAAATTAGACTCGCAGACCACCATTCCATGCAGCAAAGGATGATGAGGCAGGCAGAAGGGGGTGCTGAGATCAGGCTGCTATTTTGGAAACAGCAAAACAAAACATCAACACCCCACCGCAGCGCCTCTTCAATGATGAATCCCTGATACTCTGAAATGCTGAGACATGGACTATCCATCTGTCAGGATCTGGGTTAGAGGGGATAATGGTGGAGAAGGCCAGGCCTTGAAGGATAACGAAATTCACTCAGCAGCTTCATTCAGGCAGCAGGCTGAAAATGCATTTGATTGAACCTCAGCAATCCAGCCTGTGCTGTTCTACAATCTAGGCCATGAATGCATTAGCACTTGGACTTGGGCTTGAATTGCAAATTTGATTCTTGTTGTTCATATTTTACAAGCTAGGCCAGATGCTTGGATAGCATGTCGGTTTTGCCTGCTAGGGAACAGAAATGTCACCGTTCTACCTGTTTGCCTTTTGCAGACCCGGGAGCACCAGTTTACCTCAGTTGCAGTGGTGGCTCTAGGGGCCCCCGAGGCTTAGTGGGAATTTCGTGGCTATCGGCATGAAGCTAAATGTTTTCTGTAGGGTTTTCCTGCAGTGCATCCTCACAGGATCTCCTTGAGGCAGGACATTAGCAGCCCACTGTAGAGATAGAGAAGCCAAGATTTAACAAATGACACAAACCCAACGCCCTGCCCTGTCATCGATGTTGACTCAGAGCCACCCTACAGGATAGGCTAGAACTTCCCCTGTGGGTTTCCAAGACAGGACTCTTAATGGGAGTAGAAAGCTTTGTCTTTCTCCTGCAGAGCGGTGAGGCTGGTGCTTTGGAACTGCAGCTCTTGCGGTTAACAGCCCAAAGAGTAACCACTCTACCACCTGGGTTCCTTGTCTGAGAAAGCACTTAGTAATCCAGTGGCACGTCTTGGAATTCGTGCCCTCGTGCCCCAAATGGCTTCATTAACCATGGGCAGTACTATTGGTAGTGCCGAGGTATCGAACCGAGGCGCCCCTGCTGGTCTTTTCCATTGGTTCTATGATATACGGCGCCTTTATTGAGGGTAGACGACTGGAAGGGGGCCTTCAACTGTGTAAAGGTACAGCAATCCCTTCTCATCTGACGGAGTTTCCCTTTGTCTTTCAGCAAGCATCTCCCCAGTCCCAGTCTCTCACCACAGCCCTGGGACTGGCCCTGTGAGGCCAAAAGGAAAGGAACAAAGAGCTGAGCTGGCCTGGTGGTTAATCTGTCCGTACCTCACCAAGGCCTTTCTTAACTGGGCTTCTTAACGGAGTCCTCCCGTTAAATTGACCTCACACTTCCCAGAGCATGAGGTCCCAGAACACTGAGTGTCTAAGTCACAAATTCCTGTGGTCGGTGGGCTGCCTCCTGCTCTTCTATAAGTTCATCTCTTTCAGCCCCTCTGAATTAAACAATAGACCCATTCATTCAATGAGCAGATGTTTCTTGGCCATTGATGGGAGCCAGGGCATGGTTTCTTCTTGGGGCAGGCTAAACAGACACTTAGGCTGGATCCCCCACAGCATAATCATAATAATAATGCTGCTGGGGGCAAGTGTAGGTTGCTTGGAAATATGGGGATAGCCTTATGGGGATAACCAGCCTAGTACAGGTAGATCAAGAAAGGCATGATCCAGAGCGGGGAAGGCATGTAAGAGACCTCCTAGAGGAAGCGAAAGCTATACTCTGACCTGAAGATGCATAGTGACTCACTGGGGGAGGGAGGAAGAGAGGGAGGAAGCAGGAAGGAGCATGTTCCAAGAAAAGAAAGCAACATGCCCTGAAGGAAGAAAGAAGGTTGACACATGGAAGGAATGACTTTCAGAAGTGCTCATGGAAACTGGATTGGTGGGTGGGAAGGTGGTACTGAGAAGAGGCATGAGGAGGAGGCGGGGCTGGGAAGATGAGCCAGAGTCAGGTGAAGAAAGCTCCCATTGAACTGTAATGGAAAGACCGTTGGAGATCAAAGCAGGGTTACAAACAGGAAGGCCAACACATTTTTTTTAATAAAGGGGTAATGACTATTCTGTATAGAAAATAGTTGATGGCGAGCAAACCAGGGAGTAAAGAGCTCAGATGAATGAGTGAATGGATGGATACCTGGAGGCAGGGCAAGATCGGTTAGGAAACTGTTCCAACCATTTAGCAAGAAAAGTGAAAGGAGGATGGAGATGAGGGGATGGGTTTAAGTGAAGGCCTGGGAGTCCAATTCATATCACTTGGGGATACGTACGATGGATGATGTGGACTTTCTCAAGGGAAAATCGCTTGGTCGCTGACTTGGCTAACTGAGATGGGGAATATTGAGTAGGAAAACATGATAAACACAACATTGAGATGGGAAGTGTTCTAGATGTCCATGAGTGTCGAAGAGGAGAACCTTGGAGTTTGTACAGTCAGCAGGAGAGATTGGGCATGATTCATTGCTGGGGGGTAGGAGGGGTGGGCAGGGGATCATCTGCTAGTGAAGATATTTGAGCCTGTTGTGTTCGTGGCGACGCACATCAGAACTCATAAAGAGTAAACGATGACTTTGAGATTTAGTTATCTTCCTTCTTTTGTCGTTTGCAGCTACAAGAGACTGTGAAAAGGAAGTTGGAAGGAGCCCGATCACCACTTAATGGAGACCAGCAGAATGGTGCGTGTGATGGGGGGTTTTCTCCGACGAGTAAGCGAATCCGTAAGGACATTCCTGCCGGGATGGACGCCATCAACAGTTTGCCCAATAACATGCCACTGCCTTCAGTTTCTCCTCTTCACCAACTTGACTTGAAGCCTTCTTTGCCCTTGCAGAATAGTGGGGCTCACGCCCCAGGGCTTCTAGAAGACCTGGGTAAGAATGGTAGACTTGCTGAAATTAAACTTCCGGTGAATGGTTACAATGACTTGGAAGATAGCTTCACCGTCTTGCAGAGCAAAGACCTCAAACAAGAACCTTTGGATGACCCTACTTGCATAGACACATCCGAAACCTCCCTTTCCAATCAGAACAAGCTGTTCTCCGACATTAACCTGAATGATCAGGAGTGGCAAGAGTTAATAGATGAGCTGGCTAACACAGTCCCCGAAGATGACATACAGGACCTGTTCAATGAAGACTTTGACGAGAAGAAGGAGCCGGAATTCTCCCGGCCAGCCGCCGAGACCCCTCTCTCCCAAGAGGGTGCCAGTGTGAAGAGTGACCCCTCCCACTCTCCTTTTGCACACGTCTCCTTGGGATCGCCCCAGACCAGGCCTTCTTCCTCCGGTCCTCCCTTTTCTACCGTCTCCACGGCCACCAACTTACCTTCTGTCGCCAGCACTCCCGCAGCTGCAAACCCCACCAGCTCACCAGCAAACTGTGCTGTCCAGTCCCCCCAAACTCCAAACCAAGCCCACACTCCAGGCCAAGCGCCCCCACGGCCCGGAAGTGGTTATCTTCTTAACCCGGCGGCAGTGACCGTGGCAGGTTCCGGGTCGGGCTCTGTGGCTGTGCCCAGCTCTGACATGTCCCCAGCCGAGCAGCTCAAGCAGATGGCTGTGCAGCAACAACAGCGGGCCAAACTCATGCAGCAGAAGCAACAGCAGCAGCAGCAGCAACAACAGCAGCAGCAGCAACAACAACAACAGCAGCAACAACAGCAGCAACACTCAAATCAAACTTCAAGTTGGTCTCCCTTAGGCCCTCCATCTAGTCCATACGGAGCAACCTTCGCTGCTGAGAAACCAAATAGCCCAATGATGTACCCCCAAGCCTTTAACAACCAAAACCCTGTAGTGCCTTCAATGGCAAACAACCTGCAGAAGACGACAATGAATAACTACCTCCCTCAGAACCATATGAACATGATCAATCCGCAGCCAAATAACCTGGGTGCAAACTCTTTAAACAAACAGCACAACATTCTTACTTACGGCAACACGAAGCCTCTGACCCATTTTAATGCAGACTTGAGTCAGAGAATGACGCCGCCAATGGCCAACCCCAGCAAAAACCCCTTGATGCCGTATCTTCAGCAGCAGCAGCAGCAGCAGCAACAGCAGCAGCCGACAGCACCTCCACCGCACCTCCAGGCTCCCAGGGCACACCTGAGCGAGGAGCAGAAGCGCATGCTTCTCATGAAGCAGAAAGGTGTGATGAATCAGCCCATGGCCTACGCTGCGCTTCCAGCCCACGGTCAGGTGAGTGCCAAAGGGAGACGCGTCGCGAGCAGTTCGTGTGATGCCATGACGCTCACCGAGCTCCAGCGGTCGCTTCTCCGGCTGGATGCCACCTGGTCGATTCCACCTCATAGCAACTGGAGAGGGCAGGTGAGAACTGTGCCAGTGGGTTCCGAAGGCTGGAACCTTTACAGGCGTCACGGCTGCCCCGCCAGGCCCCTGCTGGAGCCGTCCTGAGGTGTAACTACCTGCAGCCATGTTCCATGTCCCGCTGGATTTCTTCCTTTTAGAGATGGAGCAGGGGGGGACTTAACACCCCTGTGTTTGAAGGCCTCCTCAGGGTCAAACGTTGTTTATTCCTGCCATGAGATAAGAAGCCAAAAGTTCCAAGAGGGGGCTTCAGAAAGCCCTGGGGAGATCCATTATCTTTGGAGTCCGTTTCCCCACTGACTCTTGGAAGCCCCCTCGTACGTGTAGGCCACACTGTGAGGAGAGGGCAGCCTGAGGTCACGGAGCTGTCGGTGCAGACTCGGGTTAGGGAAGAATGGAGACGGGAGCTGCTAGAAATACCTGTGGCCATTTCATAGGGTCTCTGGTGGCGCTGTCTGGCAAGCATTGGGCTGCGGACTGAAAGGTCGGCAGTTCAAACCCATCAGTTCCTTGGGAGCCAGATGCATCTGTCTTCTCCTTTACAGATTTCCAGCGTTGGAAACCCTATAGAGCAGGGGTGGGGAAGGTCCCGTCCAGAGGCTGCTGAGGCGCACAGAATCATCCACAGCAGCTACCATCACACTCCACATCCCAGAGACGTGCCAGCCCCGCCCGCATTAGGGGAGTGTGAATTGAATGCTTGACCAGCATGGCCCACACTAGAAGTAGCCACACGGCCCCTGGACAGAAGCCTAGGTCCTCACCTAGAGGGTCCCTGTGAGTTGGAATCGACTCAGTGGCCGAGGGTTTGGTTTTGGGTTTACTGCTGGTTTGTGGGGTCCTGAAAATCCTTCATCCGCCCTGCTGAATGATGAAGAACTGGAAATTTCGATAACACGCTTTTCAAATGTGGGAGAGTTTTCTGTGGTTTCAAACCAAAGTGGAGGATAAGGTTGTGTGTGTGTGTGTTGATGATCCAGTGTTTAGCCAGGTGTCGCTGGTCTAGAGCCCCCACCAGCTGTTTTAACCTCGCGGCTTGGGCACGAAGTGGGAGCCCTCGTTCACACAGCTGGAATTCAGGGAAGGGTGAGGGTGTATATGGGCCTGTGGCCATGCTGTGTTCAATAGCGCCCGCCCCTCCCACCGTCTCCCTGGATGACTTCGGACTTCAGAGGGGCAGGGTTGTCTGTGAGACACCGAAACCGGTGAGCGTGCACCACGCACTAGCCAGCCCTCCGTTCCTGAGGCCGGGAGCGGGGAGTCCCTGTTCCTCGCGTGTGACGTTGTTCGGCGCTGATGGAAAGGGCAAGTCGAGGAAAGAGGACCGTTCCACTGCGTGCCTCAGTGCTGGGGGACCCTTGCCAGCCCATTCGAGCCGGTGCCCCCTCCTCGTGGAAAGCAGATGCTGACATGCCTGTTGGAACTTTTGCAGTAGAGCCTTTGCTGTCGAGGCCACCGTGCTGGAACAGGTTCTGACTCGCGCTTGGCTGTGTGTTCTCAGTTGGTGAATTAGAAGCCCTGGGAAGCGCTGCGGGGAGAGCTTGCTTCACTGGCGTCGGGGTTTGCACGTTCTGTCTCCCGGTCCACACACACACAGCCGGTGCCCACGCGTGCTGGGGGCTGCCCGGCCTGACGGGCTCCTGGCCTGCAGAGACACATCTGAGCTCAGCGGCTAGCTTCTGGCCTTTCATGCCCTCCCCGTCCCACAGTCTCTCTGGGCTTTCTTGCCTGCACATGCCAGCCGGCCCTAACGACATTCTCTCTGGATGAGTAAAAATGTAACTTGACTTATGCATGAGCAGCAATCAGTAGCTGCTTAGAGAGAGGGGGAAGAAAAACAATCATTGAAATGTGACCCTTCTGTGTGAGCATGGTTTCATTACAAAAATATCCTTTGGGAAAATGTAACATCATATATACTTCAGTGTTACGTACAGAAGCATCCTCCAATGGGTACCAATAACAGAAATGTGGGTGAAGGGCGACAACAGGCAGTGTAAGATACGAAGTAATAAAAACAGTAGATAATTGATCAAGGGTTCACGAGGGTGGGACGCTGTGGGAGGGAAGAGAAAAAAGAGGAGCTTATATCAAGGGCTCAAGTAGAAAGAAAATATTTTGGAAATGATGATGTCAACTTATGTACAAATATGCTTGATACAATTGATATATGGAATGTTATAAGAGCTGTAAGAGTCCCCAATAAAATTTTTTTTTTTTAAAAGTTCAGAAGCAGGCAATATACAGGACTGCTGGTTCTAACCCGGGTTGCCACAAGGTTTATGAGATGGCGAGCTGTTGAGTGGGCTAAGGTCAATGCGAGCTATGCTACAGTCACAGCTTCACACCTGGGCTACCGTGGAAGACTTCCCAGGGGCCACAGCAGTGGTGATGCATGCCAGCCACCGGCTCTGGACCACCCGCACTCCCCACCCTCACTCACTCACTGTCTTCTGAAATGGGCTAGCTTAGGATGAAGGGCTTGTCTTTGCTGGAACGTGAACTTCAGGTACTTACTTCAGGTCCGTGTGCCTGCCTGACTGAACTGTGAGTGGCCGAAGCCTTGAGCCGAAGAGGCCGTGCCTAAAAGGGTTCTATCGGGCTGGGTTCTGTCCGGTGAAGAAGCGAGCGATGGTTTTTGGCTCAAGCTTCCCCTTTCCTCTGTCTGCCTTCAGGGTAGTCAACATCTTCCTTTGTGAGTCCTCTTAGCATAATCAGTTCTTAATCTCATGAAGGGCCATCACCAAAAGCACATTTTTTAAGGAACTATTAACTTGCTCCTCTTTGAAACAAGCTTCAAAATGCACCAATAAATATGTGACTGTCTTTCTGCAAACATTCTGGTTCGTTGCTTTCATGCTTTATCTGATCGTGTTGCAGTGTTTACTTAGTCCTGAGCATCGTTAATTACACTGGAGGCAGGTACATTGCACAAATACTAGCACAAATTACGGGCGAGATAGAAAATGTGCTTCCAGACTGGCGTAGTCAAACTGCGCATGCTGCTCTTGCTAGCTTGCATTCAGTAGATTCTGAGTCAGTCACAGCCAGCCCTTTGGCTTGTGTTTTTGATTTTTCTTTTTTAATTGTAAACTGGATGAAGGTGTCCAGAGCAATTGGTCTTCCTTTTGACGACTCATGTACACTTTGTTTCATGTCCTTGATTGCCATCCCCGCAGTGTACCCTCAACTCTGCCCACTTCTCCCCGGTGTTTCCTGTTTCCAGCCCTCCCTCTTCCCTAAGGCTGCCCTTTTGATCCCCAATGGATCTAAGGAGTGCACACTTCTCTTAATTAGTGTTCACCTGATAGACCTGCTTGGTGTTTGGCTGGAAATTGGAGACACTTGGGTAAGTTCAGTTGCAGGCCCAAACCGTGAATCAGGCCCAGAACTTCGAAGGTTCCACCAGTCTCTATCTGAGCACTGAGCCTGGTCACCTTTGTTTTTCACAAATGACGAGTGCAGAAGCCACTAATAGAAGAATGCTGTTGGCCATTTTTCACTCCTCCACCAGCAGAGCGATCGCATCGGGTTTTCTAGGTTGTAATCTTTAGGGAAGCAGATTGTCAGGCCCTCCTGCCTATGGGTGGGTTCACACTGTCAGCTTATCGGTTGCTAACCTGTGTGAGCCACGGAGGCTTTTGTTGTTGTGTATATCTTTGTGGGCCACTGAGTCAATTCCAGCAACGCTATGAGACAAAGTAGCCCCATAGGGTTTTGTAGTGTGTCATCTCTATGGGAACAGGTGGCCAAGTGTCTTCTCCTGCAGAGTCACTGGGACGGGGTTGGGGGTGGGGTGGGGTGGGGTGGGAGGGTTGAACATTAAGCATCTCAGTTGGAAGTCAAACATGTAACCATTACTCCACCGCAGCATCTATTTCATCCACAGCATCCGTAGCATCTGTTTACGTGATTGTTTACTTATTTAGAACAGTTGTTATTCTTGTTAGGCGCCCTCAAGTCCAATCAGACCCACAGCGGCCCTGTGTACGACAGACGGAGCATCCCCCAGTCCCGAGCCGTCCTCACAACCGTCCTTATGCTCCCGCCCATGGGTGCAGCCACTCTGTCCACCTGTATTGTTGAGTGTCTTCCTCTGTTTCACTGCCCCTCCCTTTACCAAGTATGGCGGCCTTCTCAGGGACTCGTCTCTCCTGGGAACCTGCACAGTTGTAGAAAATGCTGTTTCTCTAAAGAGAAATAAAGAGAAATACACTCGGTTCCTGAATACTTCAAAAAGGATAAAGCCAAAACTAGAAGCAGAGGCAAAAATTTAAATCTTCTGTCTAGTGATTTCACTTTTCAGAATTTATTTACTATTATAGTCACAAAATTGGACAATTTATGTACAATGATTGGTATTACTCATAATAATGAACGATAAACAAAATCAGAATTGGGTAAAATGAGGTTCATGAAAATCATTACATAAAAGGATGACCACAAGGAAATTCATGACACGAGTGAGATAAACAGATCACAAAATAATTGGGAGGTTATAATCCAGTCTGGGTCTTTTACTACGTAAATAGCAAAGAACCCAAATGCTTGCTGTTATTAAGTGCTGCCACGTCAGTTCCGACTCTTAGCCTGTAGCCCATGTCCCACAGAAAGAAACACACGCCATTCTCAGAATCAGTCTTGCTGATTGAGCCCATTGGTGGAGCCACGGTGTCAGCCCAGCCTGGTGGGGACTTCCTTGTCTTGGCTGCCCCTCTGCTCCTCCAAGCATGATGGCCTTTCCAGGTACTTTCTCCTGACAACCTGTCCAAAGTACATGAGATGAACTCTCACCATTCTCGACCATAAGGAGCATTTTTGGTCGCCTATATTTGGTAAATCGTAGCATTACTCCTGTCAGTCTTCCTAAT